GCAAACACAAACAGAGGAAAAGAGGCAGGGGGGTGTCGAGGAAATGAAGGAACACAGACGGGAGTAAAGGGCACAGAGAAGAGGAGGCCAAGACACAACGAGGAAATGTAAGAACTAAAACGGCAGCGAAAGGAAATGGGGAAACCCAAAACACACTGCGCAGATATATCCTCAGGCAAAGTCAGCTCAACCGTTCTGACTGAGGACACTTCAACATGCTGTTCAACCAGAAGAACAGCAGAGGAGGCATTTAGGAGATGAATATGTATCGATATCATTAGTGATATGGCAAATGCAGTGCGACAGCTGATTTGTTGTGTTTCCTTTCCTTCTTGTAATCTGTGGTGGAATTCAGGGTACACATTCAGGGTATTCTCACTTTGTGCTACTTTATGATTTAACTCCACAACATTTTAGAAATCCATATTGTACTTTTTAGTTTACTACATTTATTAGACAGCTTTAGTTAGTAGCTACTTTGCACATTCAGATTATTAATGCAAAAAATAATAATTTAAAATGTCTTTATTCTGAAATGGAGATACCTCATAATGAGCACTTTTGTAATCAAGTATATCTTGCTACTATTTTTTTACTCGAGTATATTTTTGAATGCAGGACTTTTTCTTTTACAGAGTATTGTCACACTGTAGTATTCTTACTTTTACTCAAGTAAAAATATCCAACTCTTTGGCATCACCAGCTTTAGAAGAAAAACACATTATTATTAACTCAGTGAATTTGAGCCAGTGCGAGGACTATGAGCCGGACTATGAGCCGGACTATGAGCCGGACTATGAGCCGGACTATGAGCCGGACTATGAGCCGGACTATGAGCCGGACTATGAGCCGGACTATGAGCCGGACTATGAGCCGGACTATGAGCCGGACTCTGACCACATAGTGAGAAAAGTCCTGATCAGCTCTGCCATGGTTAATGGAGGATCTTAACAGTCTCCGCTCTGACTGGAATGTGTTGCCTGCATGAATGAATCTCAGCTGACTGTAGGAAACCAGGAGGAGCATGACGCTTCACCGCCCAGCAATCATCCACGACATTTATTACTAGAGTTAAGTATGGCTAGAGAATGCCTGAGCGATATACTCAGAAAAGAAACTGGGAAAGTCCAACTGAAAGCCTCCTTTGAAGTGTTAACATTATGTATTTTGTTGAAGAAGTTGGCGGATATTAGGGATGCAACCGACATAGTTTGTTGTTAATGTTTCATCTCAATACTTTCTTCATTGATAACTTAGTCAATACATTTTTAAGTGGATCTTTTTGTCCAAACGCTATTGGATAGATGCCATTTAAAACAATTAAAAGATTATAGGAACCAAAACAGATCCATATTTGGAAAGTATCTTTAAGTAGCACTAGAAGAGGCCTGAGCGATGTACTCGGAAAAGAAAATTGGCATGGTGGAACTGACATATTGTACTTTATTGTAGAAGTAGTTGGCGCAGATTAGGGTCGCAACAAACGGTCCTTTTTGTTTCTGATTAGTCTTTCAAATATGTTTTTTAGACTGAAATCTAAAGTCCATTAAATGGCAAAAAGGAGAAGCACATGCCCACAAAGAAGCCTCGCAGAAGTGTTAAAACAACATGTCTTTTCCAAATAATAGCACAAAAGCCAATAACATTCTGTTAACAACCAACTAAGAAAGAAAACAAGAAAAGCTTCACATTTGAAAAGCTGGAGCGAGTGATTTCTTTGCATATTTGCTTTACAAAATGACCAACAATTAACCAATTATCTTTCCACAAATAGTTTCAGTTTCAGCTGAAGTTCAGCAGGTTTTTAAAGCCTCTCCAGCCTGTCACCCTCAGGGCTTCTCTCCTCTTATCCTGACTGAACGCAACGCTTGATTTAACCTATAAATGCAGCTAGAAGGGCACAAACCTAACAGATAAAAGATTAGAAATTCTTGCCATCCTTGAGAGTTCATCCCAATAAACATCCTTGTGGTGTGTGTGTGTGTGTGTGTGTCACACGGCCCTCCATTTGATACTCTCCTTTTCTAAAAACACACAATCTTACTAACTACCTTCAATAAAACCTAGAACATCCACAGGCATGTTCCCTTGAGACGTTGTCATATTGGGAAGCTTGAACAGCCTGGGCCCCTTGTTCACATTTTAAGATGTCTGTGTTTAATTTGGTCTATCCAGCAGTACACATCTCCCCGGGGGCCCAGAGTTTGGACATTGCTGACACACGGATGAAGGAATGTAACGATCTCTGCAGGGGGCTTCATAACACTGGCACTACACGAGAAGAACTGGCCTCCAGAGAAAGCCATTGCACAATCCATTACTAGAACTTGATTTATGACTCGAGGTACAACAACAGGATATGACATGTGTCCCCCGATGTGGCCCTTTTAAGGCTACATCTGATATGTCTTTCTAAAACACACAACAAGGAACATATGACTGCCAACAAAGTGCGGTTTGTTCTCAGATATTGCAATAACTTTTTCAGCATGAATAGTCGTTTGCACAATCGCTTGGGAAACAAAATGTTATTAATTGTGGTGAGCGCATACTGTGTTTTTAATAGCTTCTTGGCATCAGCTGATTGTAAGAGTATGGTTATGATTACTACAAAAAAAGTGCCGCTCACACACACTCCTAACACAATAGAAGCAGGTCTGGGTGCCCAGTTTGACTGCAGGTAGAGTTAATGCATGTTTTTTTTGTGCTAAACCTCAGAGCGTTTGCTAGCCTCAATGTCAGCAGGGCGTGCTAGCATACCAGAGACTGTTTGCTCCCCAGAGTGCAAACACAATGATGTGCCATCAAACAGAGCAAACAGCAATTGCGCAGACAAAACAAACAGGTGTGTACGATGAGGCGACGTAGTGAGGCGACGTAGTGAGGCGCAGTGAGAATGTGACACTTTTTACAGATCTGGAGAAAGTCTGGCATATTTCATAAAAACATGAAGTGGGTTAGCTGAGACATGCATTGGTATTAGCCTCAATTAAAGGTTAGTTTCCTGTTAATGTATTGGCTGCTAACTCTGTAATATGGGTAACACTGCAACAATCAGATGTTATTCTACCTGTTTTCTTAATGCTACAATAAGTGTGTACTTTGTCCTACTCACTGTGATTTTGTTTGATCTATATAGTTATTTGCTTATGTAATTATATCAGTACGATATGATCCCTCTTTGAAGTTTTTTGTGTGATATTTTCTGAATCAGGGGTCTAAAAGTCAAGTGTACTATTTTTCTTTACAGCCATAAAAGGCCACTACTACATTTTAAAATGTCTTGGCTTGATATTGATATATTCCATAAAAATTGCAATGGAAAAACGTGCATGTTCATCAGAGTTGGCCACACTGTAATTACAAGACAAACTTGGTGATTTCCAGCCTGGCATTCTGAAATCTGGCTGATATCAGAACCAGTGCATCATGCACCCTAGGCTTGGAGCAATATGCATGCCAAATGTTTATTGTCTAAACACATCGTAATGTCAGGCATTCAAAGGCCACATCCAAAACGTGTTTTATGAAGGGTATTTTTAAAACCCACACATTTTCCTTTTATATTTCTCGGGTCCAATATTGAGCTGTATGCAAATGTTTTACATTGTTATGCAACTCTGTAATATGTATTAGTAATTTTGGGTGGTCATTCCTCACTCATGTTTGAAAGACTCGATGGGTGACTAAAAAAATATATTACAAGTAAGGACATACAAATATTTATATTATATGTTCAGAATATCCTCCAACACTTGTGATTTTGTTCAATTAAGAGTGCACAAAAGGTCAACAACTCTGATCATAGGAAGAAGTAATTAGATGTTAAACCTAAGTAAAAGTACTAACATCGAAATACTGGGTACTTAAAAGTACAAATATTTATTAAACATCATTTTAGTTTTGCAGCAGGTAGAGGTGGAGCTTAATGTAATGACTTTTTATATCACCAGGTAAATTAATCCATAATTATTTTAATTTTTTTTAAAATCATAATTCATTAGTTGCTCTACTTTTTTTTAATTAATAATATGAACCTGCAGAGTAACTAATGTAGTAAAAAAAGTAATGCAGAGGAGCCAAAAGTGCAATATTCGACTCCAAACTGTTGTAAAGTAACCTCGAAGTGTAAAGTAGCACACAATGTCAAGTACAGTAATCGAGTAAATGTACCAAGTTGCTTCCCATACTTTCAACCAACTGGCCAAAGCAGTACCAAACTAAATCTGTCAAACAGTCAAATGTATTTGCTTGGGGGCCCATTGAAACCCCTTCAAAGGCCCCGGTATAAGCATCAGGGTTGAACAGAAAGAAAAGTCAGACATGCAGATGACCCGAGAAGAAGCACAGTGCCTTTTCCTTTTTTTGAAGTCCACCGGTAAACCAGTGACGTCATGCCCGCGAGCCAGACATATTACTGGCCACACACAGCGTCCGTTTCCCACCAACCGAAAAAGTTTAACCACAAATTATGAATACACATTAACTCATCCGGTTTCCAATAAGGGTGCAATTATTTAAATCTCATTTTCATCCAACTTGAACTCTTAAACAGACCCTTCTTTTTTTTTTTTGCAACTCATTCACGCAAATCACTTCCTGCCACCACCAACCGTTATGACTTTTTTAGCTTAACGGCTATAATTCGAATTAAAAAACGACCGTTACAAACATGTAACTCAAATGGCACGTATGTTAGAGTCGAATAAACTATATAATGTAAGTTAAGTGCTGTAAAAATGAACTGAACCTCGGTTAAAAAAAAATCTGTTCAGGAGGTGTCCACCCATCTGAAGCAAGGCACGTTTATTTGTATAGCACCTTTCAACACCATTCAAAGTGCTTTACAAAAGTGCAGAAATACATGATAAAATAGCATTTAAAAACAGTCTGAAGAAGCAGTTAACTAGCCACCCGTGCTTCCTGGTTCATGGCATTTTCATTGAATGAGTTAATGAAAGAGTGCCAACATGGCGGTGAAAAAGTGTGCAAAGAATTACCTGCTTTCAGAGGGTTTCTAACAACAGGCTCAGTCAGCGTCGCCGTGAGTCAAAACTTGTGTTCCTGTCGACGGGTTCAGGCTAAACTACGCTGCTTCTTCTTCCTCTCTTTCTCCACTCCACTCGTTTTTTTCCTGTTCCTCTGCCCTCCCTCCTCTACTGGGTGGCTGCTCACTGGTTCGTTTCTCTCGGTACGTAGGCAGGCAGCAGCATGGAAGTCTGGAGAGAGGAAAGGATCCAGCTTTTAAAGGCGGGACTCCGAGAGATGCTAAGTGACGCATGAAGCTCAAAATGATAATAATAATTTACAGGAACAGGATAATATACGTTACAAGTAGCCTATTTGCCATTTATTTATTTATTTATTCTATGAATGTATGAGAGATTATTCCAGGATGGAGACATTATTTTTTATCTACCCTTGATTGAATTTTTTTTTTAGTGTACAGTTAATTTAATTTTGGGAAATGTCATATTCATACAAAGAAATGGGCTGACTCCAAACCCAATTTTTGAACATTTGTACCAATTATTAAAACAATATAATAGCACTAATTAACACATTATGAATAGAAAGGCTAATTTTGCATTTAACAAATATTTGTATCTGAAATATGAAACTGTATTTTTCTCTTTTTTATTTTGTATGTAGCTACTTTTTTTAGTTCTGACTTTATTTAAGTCAGAACTAATTTATTTTTTACATTTGGTCACATCCCAAAATAAATTCTCATGTCCTAATCTTTTTCCGTAATTACTTTACTTTATATGTCTACCCCTGATACACAACGTTATATATATATAGCACCTTACACAGAGCAAGACTAGATACATAACAATAACAATGAGTAAAAATAAAAGAAGTTATAAAAGAAACAGAAAGCTTTATATCACAGAATCATAAAACATTGAAACAGTGATACCACTAAAATTACCCAAAATTAAAAAGTCTTTAATTAACTTGTAGCCCTGCTGGCCTGGAAACAAATTTAAAAGCACACATTTTCCCCACCCAATTATTACATTTGGAACAACAGGAAGGTTCAATATAAAAGACAATCTCTATCTTATGAAAGATGGGTTGAAATTTGCTACATTTTCAATTATTTTACCAAGAATTGTAGAATAAAAATATAAAAAGTACCCGTATCCGGGCCCATAGAGCATGCGCAGTTGAGTTTTCCCTTAAGCCCCGCCTCCTCTGTCAGTCAAATGAACGGAGTGAGAAAATAACTCTGGATTCGGCTTTTAGAGCATTTCACAACTTTAAGACCCTAATGATTTAAATAAGGGCTATCAAAGTGTTCGTACTGGGTAGTTTATTTAGCTAAACAAATTGTATCTCTCCCAATGTAAGTCAATGGAGACAAGTATTTGTGTATCCAACGACGTCATGGACTGACACCCAAGTTGTAGTACTGCTGTTTGGCCACTACGAACATTTGCTTCAACTTGTGCCCTGTCTTTGGGCTTTGGTAGTCAGTACTCAGTAGGATCCCAAATAGCCATGGGTGCGGTCCAGGAGGAGGCGGGACCTAAAGCGCATGCCCACCCCCTTTTAACCAATGGCTGGCTGCGCTGTGTTAATCCAACACACTTTGGACCAATCAGAAACGCGGAAGAGTGACAGCAGCTGGGCGGGGCTTAAAGCTGAGCTTGAAAGAGTGTAGGGGAGAGGAGGGAGGGCAGAGAGGGGCACAGATAAAGCTGTGTTTAATGAGAGAGGTATGTGCATACTAAGGATTTTTATGACCATATAAGCAGTGACTCTCTGGATGGACTGCATCACTCAGGGCCTCCCTAGTGTGTCAACAAGGTTTAGTCTGACCACAAGTCTGCTTTAAAAACAAGTCAGGATTTGAAGGTATTCTTGTCATATGCACATAAAGCTACAGTAGTTGTTGGCGAAAAAAGTCCAGAGCTCCTTCAACAGTGAAACATACAATATACAGTAGAATTAAATACTGCTTATTGTAATAATAATAATACATCAATATGAGGACTGTAAACAGATGTATTTGTCACGGCTGGAGGGCAAGGTACACAGGACCCAAATGCAGAATATTGTTTGAAAATCCAAAACGCTTTTATTGCAGAACTAGGCCAGGCAACAAAGTAAAATAAGGCAAGGCAAAACGTAAAAATCCCTCAGAACAAAATCCTTCCAGCAACATCAAGAATCTCACAAAGACTAACCTAAATGCACACAGGACTAATCACACAAACAAGACACAGGTGAGGAGGGAGGAGAAAACACAGGGGCACAAGGTGAACACAATCGAGTAATCAGGCAGGAGGGAACACAGAGACAGGAAGCAACAGGCAAGACGGGGGGGGTGTGTTTCAAACTCAAGACAGATCTACTAGACAGGACAAAATAAAACATGGACAGATCGTGACAGTATATTTTGCTATGAACAAATGTGAGGGAAGACTGTTCGATACTATATTTCTGCTGTAAGGCCGCAGAATATCAAATAAATCCCACACATACTGACATGTCTGGGCTCATATCAGTAATGTGTGGTTGTTGCATCAAATACTCTCATTTCACCAACTAAGGAGTTTCAACTGTTACAAATTCCCGGCAGTACTTTTAATGAACTGTAACTGTACACTTGCCTTTATGTGATATTGGAAACTTGATATAATCATAGGTATTTATCCGTGTTGGATTTTCGAACAGGGAGGATGTGATACAGCTACTTAACAGCGCAAAGCAGTTTAGAGTTTTGTGTGTTTTGGCAGAAGGACAATTGGGCAGGATGGATATCGGCCTACAGGGCCTTGAACCTCACGCTGTTGAAGAGCTCATGTCACTGTTAACTATAAATAATGTCACCCTACTGGCTCGTTGTTTCCACCAAGGGAATTGTGTCTGACTGCTTCATGTAAACAATTTATGCTTGCTTGAGTTCTACATTCTGGAAAAATATTTGGATGAAATCTTGTGGAAGAACCTCCAGTTTCTGTTTACCGAAACACACAATCAGTTGTAATTATAATTCAGCAAACATGTGGAATTGATAATGAAATACTCTTGTACTCAGAAAGATTAGATTAGATTCAACTTTATTGTCATTGCACAGAGTATAAGTACTAAGGCAAGGAAATGCAGTAGGCATCTAACCAGAAGTGCAAAATAAGCAGAAAGTGCAGAGTTATTCATGTTGTATAAATATATACATCTGGGAGATATAAACGGAAGTATTTACACTTAAGTATTTATCCTTAACAGGTATACATATTATAGAAGCAGTATAGAAATTGAGTACATTATAGAGCAGGTATAGAAATAGACAGTATTATACTAACAACTGAATAAATACGAGTATACTAAAGAAAAATGTAGCAGCAAACAAACACTTTTTTACAAATTCACTATAAAAACTTGTGTTTAGGAATTGCACCTGTGCTTAAACTATTACGCTAGTCTTTGGCATGTTGCTACAACCCACCTGTGCACCTGTCAGGTACATGATTATATCAGTGCAGTGTTTTTCTCTCACAGGTTCCTATCACTCAAACAGGTAAGCCTAGATTCAGGACCAGACATGTTGGCACTACATGGGAACCGCTTCAGGTGAGGATCTAATTAATGTGAGGGAGGGAAACACTTATTCAGCCTCACTTCACTCCTGACATGTGTTTGTTTTGGCTCTTGGAGAAGGCTCGTCTTGTTCTTGAGAACTGTATACAACAAGCTGAAGCGATGTAGAGATACAAAGAGGACTTGTTTATTTGCCACATGATGAAGCAACAGATATCTACGCCACACACACAGGGGGCGTGTGGTGTAGTGGGTTCAAACCCCACTGCAGTCAGCATGTCGTTGTGTCCCTGAGACCCCAAATTGCTCCTGTGGGGATTGTCCACAGTATTGAGTATGTAAGTCGCTTTGGATAAAAGCGTCTAACAAGTGACATGTGATGTAATATCTGGGGAAAAAAATATGTTTTTAATTGGAAAAAGAAAGTAAAGAAGAGAAGGGAAAAGCAACAAAAGATTAGTTGAAATGATGGATGTCGAGGTGACAGTTGTGCAGTGCTGCTGCCAACGTTTACTTAGAAATATGGAAAAGTACAATGTGAACCTGTTTGCTTCAAATAAATCTGCTGGGATTCAGACTGGATGATCTGAGCCGAGTGGAACTGAAGCACAGGGCCAAAACCAGAAGAGAGGCATAGTGGAAAAACATATTTTTGCACTTTCTGAGCTTGATACATGGTTTAAAAAAATGTGATCTGTGCCATACACTGAGATGGAAATATGATTAAGTGCAACCATGGGTATATGTATAGGGGGTTCTCAAAGCAGTCGGCGGGCGGTATCTGGAAAGATGCTTGAGTAGACTAAACAAATCTGAAAATATATAATTATGATTTCATAAAACACATTTTGAGTCAAACTTGAACACCATGATTAGCGTTTTAGAGTGTATAGAAATTATAGTTAGAAAGAGAAAAGTATAAAAAGTTAGCTAAAGGTAATTCATAAATAGTTGACATTGTTAGTAAAGTAATGGAAATTGTTGTTATCTTAAAGGTGGGGTAAGTAATTTTGGAGAAACCAGCTCGAGTGCGCTAGAATTTGAAAATACACACTACAGGCGGAACAAATCTGCCACTTCCTTACAGAGCCCCTCCTCCAACACACACGAACGCGCACATGACCAATGAGGGCATGAGATCAGTTTGTGCTCAGATGGACGGCTGACAGGCAGGTAGGCCATCCAGTTACTTTAGCCGGGCCAGCTCAGATGATTGGTCGTGCTTTTTAGAGTACTACGGCTTCCACAGATGACATTTTTGTATGTATTTATTGTCAAAGCATTTAAGATATTCATTGCTATCGGGATGTTAAGAGCATTCCATGGAATATAACAAAAAGTGTTTCTGAAATAAATTACATACCCTACCTTTAAGTGATTGATAAAGGTTAGCAGTGAGCCTAAATTCATACGTAAATTGTTGAAATTGTAGGCTAAATATATGAATAAATGGTTAGCTAAAGTGATTGGATAGATAGACAAGATATGTTAAGATTAATAGTTTAAATAGCTAGCATAAAAAGTAATGGACACACAGTTGAAATTGTTAGCTAACATTGTTCATAGCTGGTTAAAATCCTTCGAAAGAGAAAGAGTTGATATCGCTAGCTAAAGGAATGGATACATGTGAG